GTTTTTTCTCTGGCCAGAAGTTCGATGGCAAATCCTCCCTCTTCAAGTTGGCGATCCAATGACCAACCCGTCCGTGGAGGATCAGGAATCAGAAAGGTGGAATAACTTTTTTTTTTCACTTTTACCCGATGTATTCCAGCATCCAACTGCCATGTATGTGGGCATTGTAAGTTTCACTATAGTTCTGGTGAATTCTAATGGTGAAGTCCATTAAAATCTTCAATAATTGTTGTTGATTGCAGATGTGTCTAGTAGTCCCCATTGATTTTGCTTGTAAAGAGAATGGCAAAGAGAATGGCGCTAGGCTTACCGCACCATGACGTCACTGCCGGGAGATGGCAGGAGGGAGGTTTTACTATATTTGGGCAAAAGTGGCAGCTCCCAGACCCACAACGAAAATTAAAAATATTGTATTTATATTTTGGCTGACTAATACTAAATTCGTTAAATCACCGCAAACTTATTAGTTTTAGGTATAAATAATGATCCATTGATTATTCCTTACAGTTAAATCAAATGATATCTCTAGATGTTTGTATACAGAAGACAGCACATATCCCTACATATTTTGGCTTCAAACAAGCTGCCAGATCCTAAAAAGGCTTCAAAAAAACTTTTCTGTCTAATTTCCTGGGATTCTGGTGAATATAGAGTCAGCTGAACAGGACCATCACCTCAGTGTGTTTATTCTGCAGAGTGGACTCTTCAGGAAGCCACAGATCTCCTTCACTCCAGCATCCTTCAGATGGTTGCTGCTAAGGTCCAGCTGGCTCAGATGGGAGGGGTTGGACTTTAGCGCTGAGACCAGAGTGGAGCAGCTGATCTCTGACAAACTGCAGTTCTCCAATCTACAGAGGGAGACATTCTGGTGAGGAGCAAAGGAAATGAAGTGCAGTTGAATCTGAAAAAGTTTTAAAAAGACAGTAATAATAATTTAACTTTATTGATCTCACATTTAACCCATCCCCTTGGGGAGCAGTGGGCTGCCAATGTACGGCACCCGGGGAGCAGTGTTGGGTTAAGGGTCTTGCTCACAGACCCAGAGTGGCAGTCTGTGGGAGTGGGGCTTGAACTCAGAACCTCTGGGATCAAAGCGCAATGCGCTAACCACTAGGCCACCACTCCCCGAAGCTAACTAATCTATCTAAATAAAAAAACGTTGTAATTATAATTATTCATAATTGTATTTTTTCCATTTAGAGCAGTGGTTTTGATGACAGGATGTAAATGTAGATCACAACATATTTCAGTAAATGATCGGTATAAAGACCAATGCTAGCATACCTTAGGATTTGTAATTTACTGTTTGAATTCTCCAGTCCGAGACATAGATGTTTCAGTCCAGAGCCGCTCAGGTTGTTCCAGCTCAGATCCAGGTCAATCAAATGGGAGGGTTTGGATCTCAGAGCTGAGGCTACAACCTGGAGGTGGTTCCCTGAAAGTCCACATCGGTGGAATCTGGGATTAAAGACAGAAAACAACAAAAAGCAATACACCTGTGTACGGAATGATACAAATTCAACTAATGATGAGCACAGTCTGAGATCTGGATTTAATTCATGACATTTGAACCAAAC